TCTTTTTTTAGATAAAATAAGTTTGTGATGCTTAAGAAAACCTTTCTCAAAAATGTGTTAGAAATAAGTAAATAATCTTTGAAAAGTTTTTAAAACTAGAATCAAGTCTTTTTGGGCTTGTATTATTTTCTTATTTTCAGAAATCTTAAGTCCAATTTTCTTCTATTTTCAGATATTTTTATTTTATTTTAAGCAGTGTTTTACTTTTTTTCTTATTTTTTCCAAGGGATATTTTCCAGTGTGAGGACGTTCCCGCTGACCCAGAGATGGACCATGGGGTTGTAGATAAATGAATTAATATTTCATTCTCTGTAAACTTCTTTTGTGTCTTGTTTTTCCCAAACGTCACCAGGAAAAGTAAATATCTGAAGTAAACAGAACGCGGAGGGGTCAAGAGGCGGGAAAAAACATCCAACTGGATCCAAACGTGATGAATGAGGTTCTTTCAGGTCCATCTCAGACTGATCTGATTTTACACAGACCCCAGAGGTTTAGAACTTCACCTGCTCTGGTCCGGAAACGTCCACATGTTTCAGAGAAAAGTCCAAGCAACGACAGTGAAATAGTTTCAAACAAATGATTAGAAAAATTAGAAAATAAAAACAATTGAAAATAAATAAATAAAATAAAAACAGTTTGGGCAACATCAGATGATTTCAAATGAAACTGTTATATTTACATCAGATTAGCACCAGCTACTTTCCATCTGTGGTCCTCGTTTGTGCAATCATATAACTTACAGATTCAGACCGTTAAAGAACAAGTGCTAGTTACCAACGTAGCTACAGTCACAATGTAGAAAACACAATAGAATTAACATTTTGCAGCAAATGTAGAAAGTGCAAATTACTGGTATAAAGTGTGGATACATTTCAATCTGGAGAGACTCGAACACACTGATCTGACACTACACGGTCACTGGTGGTGGTCCTCTGGGTCCTAGACCCTGGTGGTGGTCCTCTGAGGCCTAGACCCTGGTGGTGGTCCTCTGGGGCCTAGACCCTGGTGGTGGTCCTCTGGGGCCTAGACCCTGGTGGTGGTCCTCTGGGGCCTAGACCCTGGTGGCTGGTCCTGAACGAGGCTGAGATGGGGAGGAGGAGGGTTGTGGCGTGAATGAAGCTGCTGCTTGAATGGAGCGATATGAAGCTTGATGCGGGCAGTAGCTGATCGCTGCCAGGTGAGGGCAGTGTGGCGCTGGAGCTGAGTGTGATTGACAGATGCTGTTGCCGTTGGCGATAGTGGGAGGACTGTGAGCTTAGTTCTTACAGTCTGAATTCCCGCTTTAGCTTCATGCCAATAATAATTCAAATCATTATTGCAAAGATAAAGGGAAAACCAGAAGCGTTCACATGACTCCTGCAGTGGAATAACGTAGAGTTAGTGTCAAAACAAGAGCCCGGGATTCTCTGAAACAAACATCCATAAATGTGTTTGTTTACACAGGACTCATTAATGAAGTCTGCAGGTTGTAGCTGTTTACGCCATGTCTGCTTTTATTCAGCCGCTTTACACCGACTTTTAATTAACACGTAATCCCGGTCATGTGGAGAAGTCTCTCTCCGCTCAGCAGATGTGATGTCACGCAACTCCAAACTCCGCTGTCCGCTGCTGAAATGCAGAGAAGAAGACAAAAGAGCAGTGGAGGCTCCATCGTCCAAAAGTCTCCCCTGAGTTTGTTGTTCAGATCTTCCAGCAATTAGCCACGTCCACCGCAGCCTCTGATTACTGTTATTTACGAACACTGACAGCTCCTGATGGGAGACGCAAGCTCCTACCATCACAGCATCACCTCCTCTCTCCTCCTCTTACCTCCTCCTACCTCCTCCACTCTCCTCCTCTTAGTAGCAGCAGCAGCAGTAGCAGCAGCAGTAGCAGCAGCAGCAGTAGCAGCAGCAGTAGCAGTAGCAGCAGCAGCAGCAGCAGCAGCAGTAGCAGCAGTAGCAGTAGCAGTAGCAGCAGCAGCAGCAGCAGTAGCAGCAGCAGCAGCAGTTGCAGCAGCAGCAGCAGCAGCAGCAGCAGCAGCAGTAGCAGTAGCAGCAGCAGCAGTAGCAGCAGCAGTAGCAGCAGTAGCAGTAGCAGTAGCAGCAGCAGCAGCAGCAGTAGCAGCAGCAGCAGCAGTTGCAGCAGCAGTAGCAGCAGCAGCAGTAGCAGCAGCAGTAGCAGTAGCAGCAGCAGCAGCAGCAGTAGCAGCAGCAGCAGTAGCAGCAGCAGCAGTAGCAGTAGCAGCAGCAGCAGTAGCAGCAGCAGTAGCAGCAGTAGCAGTAGCAGTAGCAGCAGCAGCAGCAGCAGTAGCAGCAGCAGCAGCAGTTGCAGCAGCAGCAGCAGCAGCAGCAGTAGCAGCAGCAGCAGCAGTAGCAGCAGCAGCAGTAGCAGTAGCAGCAGCAGCAGTAGCAGCAGCAGTAGCAGCAGTAGCAGTAGCAGTAGCAGTAGCAGCAGCAGCAGCAGCAGCAGCAGCAGTAGCAGCACCAGTAGCAGCAGTAGCAGCAGCAGCAGTAGCAGCAGCAGTAGCAGCAGTAGCAGCAGAAGCAGCAGCAGTAGCAGCAGTAGCAGCAGTAGCAGCAGCAGTAGCAGTAGCAGCAGCAGCAGCAGTAGCAGCAGCAGCAGCAGTAGCAGTAGCAGCAGCAGCAGCAGTAGCAGTAGCAGCAGCAGCAGTAGCAGCAGTAGCAGTAGCAGCAGTAGCAGCAGTAGCAGCAGTAGCAGCAGCAGCAGCAGTAGCAGCAGCAGCAGCAGCAGCAGTAGCAGTAGCAGTAGCAGTAGCAGCAGCAGTAGCAGTAGCAGTAGCAGTAGCAGCAGCAGTAGCAGCAGCAGTAGCAGCAGCAGTAGCAGTAGCAGTAGCAGTAGCAGTAGCAGTAGCAGTAGCAGTAGCAGCAGCAGTAGCAGTAGCAGTAGCAGTAGCAGCAGCAGTAGCAGTAGCAGTAGCAGTAGCAGCAGCAGTAGCAGTAGCAGTAGCTCCCTCAGATCCACAGACTCTGACCTCCCACAATCCTCAGAAACGTCATCCCTTCTTTAAACACCTGTTTCACTGCAGCCTTTCCTTCATTGTGTTTTTCAATGTTTATTTTAAGTTAATGAAGCATCTCTGAGGGTCCAAAAACGTGCTAAATAAGTTTGATGCATTATTACTCTTATCATTTTAACATCAGACTAAAGCAATAATTATTAGGAAGGAATGGATTTTCCCTTACGGGGCATGGATACGCCGCGGATCCTCTTACTCATGCATTAGACGTGGGCAGAGCGGCTGCACAGGGAGCGGTAAGACGAGAACATTCTTTCCCGAAACAAAGAAAAATGTATTTGCGGTTGTGTCCGATAAACCAATACTCCCTCAGGTGTGGTCCGCTGCAGTCTGGGACCAGGCTGGGACCAGGCTGGGACCAGGCTGGGACCAGGCTGGGACCGAGCTGGGACCGAGCCAGGACACAGGCCTCACACAGGAGCCACACAGGAGCCGCATTCCTCACAGATTGTCTTGCATGTAGGAAGCGGCGGAGAACAGACGGATGTAGAAGCAACAACAGGAGCTTTATGTCCAGGTGCTGCTGGCTCCGGGGCAATGGTGGGTCTACATCTGAGCTCTGTGGGATGTATTCACTGTTAAACCAGGGCCAGGAGCGGGAGAAACACAGCGAGAAGAATGTGGAGAGTTTCAGGAAACCAGCACGAAAACAACAAACTCGAACACAGGCTTGTCCAAACTCTGATTTAATAACCCAAAGTCGTCTTTAGCCCTATTTGCACGGGAGTAGAATGACCTGTGGACCTCTGGTAGTTTGTGATGATTGTGGAAGACGTCTGAGATAAGATAAAATAAGATAAGATAAGATAAGATAAGATAAACCTTTATTAGTCTCACAGTGGAGAAATGTCAGTGTCATCGTTGCACATTACAGCAGAGAAAGGAAGAGCACTCAGATTGCACACATCAAAGTCTATTATTTAAGATAATAGGCAATAAATTTAAGATAAAATAAAATAAAATAAGAAAATCTGGGCTACAATTGCATTTGGTTCGGAGTATTTACAGATGTCTATATTATACATTAGCAGCGGAGAATATGAGAATATGAGCAGAATAAACATCAGAAATAATATCAACAGGTAAAGTGACTTGAATGGGAGAATTATCAGATGGATATGAATAATACAGTAAGATATCAACAGGTAAAGTGACGGTGGAAGGCAGAATGATCAAATATGAAATAAAACAGTACCTGAAATAATACCAGCGCATTCACACAAGAGCAATGTCTGAGAATGACTATTATCACAGACACATAACGGCTGCACGTGCTCAAAGGATCCTCGCAGCGACACGGCTCAAAACCAGCTTGTGCTGATGGTCCTTACATGGTCCTTACATGGTCCTTACGTTAGCTCCACAGTTCACTTGTATTTAAACTTTAAAGGAGACCTGCAGACGTGGCTCTCTCCTGTAAAGAGGCACTCGTCACTGGTCTTACCATGTGTTCAGTCTTATGGTAGCTGCTAAAAAGCTTCAAAACTGTGAATCAACATTTCCACCGCAGCCTTCACGGGTCGAGTCGGGAAGAGACATGAAGAGGTGCGAGATATTGACAAAACAAGGCAGAAAGTAGAGAAGGCGGCGATACCTGGATCAGTGACATCAGACTCTGTGTTTGGACTAATACAGGAGGTACTTTGCAGCGGAATTATTACTTTACAAATTACAGCCACAGGACTAAACCTGGAGAACCAGTGTTGTGATTTAGGACGATACAACAATACTTTGATGAATCTTCCTCCTGCTGCAGAGGTGAAGAGTCTGAAGTGAAACATTGATCTCTGAGCTGCAGAGAGAGTGCGACGCTTGGGCTTCGAACCCACAGACTCCAAAACACTCCTCGTTCTGGTCCGAGGAAAAGCCCAAACGGTGTGTAACAGTTTGATACATATTGCTCTGATTGTGGAACTTCAAACGGACCATTCTTCCCCAAACCCTGACATGACAAACTTGAATCACTCTTCATCCTAACATTTCAAAGTGCTCCGGCTTCAGAGCTGGGGTGAGACAGAGGCGTGTGCGGCGGCTTCTGCGGCGGCGCTCTCGCACTTGTCACCATCAAAAGGTCACAATGATAGATCTTACATTTCTCTTCTTCTCTCGCTGTCTCCTTTCCCCTGTGTGTGCTGCAGAGAGCGGGAACGTTAGCAGGGTGTGGATGAAGATGAGAAGTCTGGATCTGCGGCGGAGTCAGGAGGGGGAGGCAGGAGGGGGAGGCGGGGAGGGGGAGGCAGGAGAGGGGAGGCAGGAGGGGGAGGCAGGAGAGGGGAGAGGCAGGAGGGGGAGGCAGGAGGGGGGAGGCAGGAGGGGGAGAGGCAGGAGGGGGGGAGGCAGGAGGGGGGGGGGGGGGGGGGGGCAGGAGAGGGGAGAGGCAGGAGGGGGGGAGGCAGGAGGGGGAGGCAGGAGAGGGAGAGGCAGGAGAGGGAGAGGCAGGAGAGGAGAGGCAGGAGAGGGGAGACAGAAGGGGGAGGCAGGAGAGGGGAGACAGGAGAGGGAGGCAGGAGGGGGGAGGCAGGAGGGGGAGGCAGGAGGGGGGGAGGCAGGAGGGGGGGGCAGGAGAGGGGAGACGGGAGAGGGAGAGGCAGGAGAGGAGAGGCAGGAGGGGGGGGAGGCAGGAGTGGGGAGGCAGGAGAGGGAGAGGCAGGAGTGGGGAGATGGGAGGGGGAGACGGGAGGGGGAAGGCAGAGAGCGGGAACGTTAGCAGTGCGGGTGTGGATGAAGATGAGAAGTATGGATCTGCGGCGGAGTGGGGAGTCAGGAGGGGGGAGACAGGAGGGGGAGGCAGGAGAGGGGAGTCAGGAGGGGGGAGACAGGAGGGGGAGGCAGGAGAGGGGAGACAGGAGAGGGAGAGGCAGGAGAGGAGAGGCAGGAGAGGGGAGACAGGAGTGGGGGGAGGCAGGAAAGGGAGAGGCAGGAGGGGGAGGCAGGGGGGGGAGGCAGGAGAGGGGAGACAGGAGAGGGGGAGGCAGGAGTGGGGAGGCAGGAGGGGGAGACGGGAGGGGGAGACGGGAGGGGGAGACGGGAGGGGGAGACGGGAGTGGGGAGGCTGGAGTGGGGAGACGGGAGGGGGAGACGGGAGGGGGAGACGGGAGGGGGAGACGGGAGTGGGGAGGCTGGAGTGGGAGCCAGGAGTGGGAGACGGGAGTGGGGAGATAGAAGTGGGAGACGGGAGTGGGAGACGGGAGTGGGGAGATAGAAGTGGGAGACGGGAGTGGGAGCTGTCATATCCGAGGTGAGATGTGGGTTCGTGCCGAGGTGAAGCTGCTGAACGAGAGATCAGAAAAGTAAACGCAGGTGAACGAGGGAACGATCCATTTAGTTTGTCTGGAGGCGAACAGTAAACTTACAGACACGTGCTTTATCTCTGTCTTTAAGAGAAACAGTAAACTTACAGACACGTGCTTTATCTCTGTCTTTAAGAGAAACAGTAAACGTGCTTTATCTCTGTCTTTAAGAGAAACAGTAAACTTACAGACACGTGCTTTATCTCTGTCTTTAAGAGAAACAGTAAACTTACAGACACGTGCTTTATCTCTGTCTTTAAGAGAAACAGTAAACTTACAGACACGTGCTTTATCTCTGTCTTTAAGAGAAACAGTAAACTTACAGACACGTCTTTATCTCTGTCTTTTAAGAGAAACAGTAAACTTACAGACACGTGCTTTATCTCTGTCTTTAAGAGAAACAGTAAACTTACAGACACGTGCTTTATCTCTGTCTTTAAGAGAAACAGTAAACTTACAGACACGTGCTTTATCTCTGTCTTTAAGAGAAACAGTAAACTTACAGACACGTGCTTTATCTCTGTCTTTAAGAGAAACAGTAAACTTACAGACACGTGCTTTATCTCTGTCTTTAAGAGAAACAGTAAACTTACAGACACGTGCTTTATCTCTGTCTTTAAGAGAAACAGTAAACTTACAGACACGTGCTTTATCTCTGTCTTTAAGAGAAACAGTAAACTTACAGACACGTGCTTTATCTCTGTCTTTAAGAGAAACAGTAAACTTACAGACACGTGCTTTATCTCTGTCTTTAAGAGAAACAGTAAACTTACAGACACGTGCTTTATCTCTGTCTTTAAGAGAAACAGTAAACTTACAGACACGTGCTTTATCTCTGTCTTTAAGAGAAACAGTAAACTTACAGACACGTGCTTTATCTCTGTCTTTAAGAGAAACAGTAAAACTTACAGACACGTGCTTTATCTTTGTCTTTAAGAGAAACAGTAAACTTACAGACACGTGCTTTATCTTTGTCTTTAAGAGAAATCCAAATGATTTATTTTTGCTCAATGCCACAATATTGAGGTTTGAAGATTCCTTTTCACCCGATCCTGAAAACCGACCATTTTGAGCAGTGTCTGAGACGTACTTTGGCCTCACGGCTTCACTTCTTCATATTTTGTTATGTTACAGCCTTATTCCATTTTTTTTGAGATTCCTGCAAATGTATTACTAAAAAAAGGAATAAATCACAAGTATTCACAGTCTTTGCCCTGAAGCTCAGCCTGAGCTCAGGTCCTGTTTCCACAGATCCTCATGAGATGGTTCTACTGCTTCATTGGAGTCTGTGGTACATTCAGTGAATTGGACTGGATTTGGAAAGGCACCTGTATATATAAGGTCCCACAGAAAGGCACACACCTGTATATATAAGGTCCCACAGAAAGGCACACACCTGTATATATAAGGTCCCACAGAAAGGCACACACCTGTATATATAAGGTCCCACAGAAAGGCACACACCTGTATATATAAGGTCCCACAGAAAGGCACCTATATATATAAGGTCCCACAGAAAGGCACACACCTGTATATATAAGGTCCCACAGAAAGGCACACACCTGTATATATAAGGTCCCACAGAAAGGCACACACCTGTATATATAAGGTCCCACAGAAAGGCTCACACCTGTATATATAAGGTCCCACAGAAAGGCACACACCTGTATATATAAGGTCCCACAGAAAGGCACACACCTGTATATATAAGGTCCCACAGAAAGGCACACACCTGTATATATAAGGTCCACAGAAAGGCACACACCTGTATATATAAGGTCCCACAGAAAGGCACACACCTGTATATATAAGGTCCCACAGAAAGGCACACACCTGTATATATAAGGTCCCACAGAAAGGCACACACCTGTATATATAAGGTCCACAGAAAGGCACACACCTGTATATATAAGGTCCACATAAAGGCACACACCTGTATATATAAGGTCCCACAGAAAGGCACACACCTGTATATATAAGGTCCCACAGAAAGGCACACACCTGTATATATAAGGTCCCACAGAAAGGCACACACCTGTATATATAAGGTCCCACAGAAAGGCACACACCTGTATATATAAGGTCCCACAGAAAGGCACCTATATATATAAGGTCCCACAGAAAGGCACACACCTGTATATATAAGGTCCCACAGAAAGGCACACACCTGTATATATAAGGTCCCACAGAAAGGCACACACCTGTATATATAAGGTCCACAGAAAGGCACACACCTGTATATATAAGGTCCCACAGAAAGGCACACACCTGTATATATAAGGTCCCACAGAAAGGCACACACCTGTATATATAAGGTCCCACAGAAAGGCACACACCTGTATGTATAAGGTCCACAGAAAGGCACACACCTGTATATATAAGGTCCCACAGAAAGGCACACACCTGTATGTATAAGGTCCACAGAAAGGCACACACCTGTATATATAAGGTCCCACAGAAAGGCACACACCTGTATATATAAGGTCCACAGAAAGGCACACACCTGTATATATAAGGTCCCACAGAAAGGCACACACCTGTATATATAAGGTCCCACAGAAAGGCACACACCTGTATATATAAGGTCCCACAGAAAGGCACACACCTGTATATATAAGGTCCCACAGAAAGGAACACACCTGTATATATAAGGTCCCACAGAAAGGCACACACCTGTATAAGGTCCCACAGAAAGGCACACACCTGTATATATAAGGTCCCACAGAAAGGCACACACCTGTATAAGGTCCCACAGAAAGGCACACACCTGTATAAAGTCCCACAGAAAGGCACACACCTGTATATATAAGGTCCCAAAGAAAGGCACACACCTGTATATATAAGGTCCAACAGAAAGGCACACACCTGTATATACTGTATAAGGTCCCACAGCACACACCTGTATATATAAGGTCCCACAGCACACACCTGTGTATATATAAGGTCCCACAGAAAGGCACACACCTGTGTATATATAAGGTCCCACAGAAAGGCACACACCTGTGTATATATAAGGTCCCACAGAAAGGCACACACCTGTATATATAAGGTCCCACAGAAAGGAACACACCTGTATATATAAGGTCCCACAGAAAGGCACACACCTGTATATATAAGGTCCCACAGAAAGGCACACACCTGTATATATAAGGTCCCACAGAAAGGCTCACACCTGTATATATAAGGTCCCACAGAAAGGCACCTATATATATAAGGTCCCACAGAAAGGCACACACCTGTATATATAAGGTCCCACAGAAAGGCACACACCTGTATATATAAGGTCCCACAGAAAGGCACACACCTGTATATATAAGGTCCCACAGAAAGGCACACACCTGTATATATAAGGTCCCACAGAAAGGCACACACCTGTATGTATAAGGTCCACAGAAAGGCACACACCTGTATATATAAGGTCCCACAGAAAGGCACACACCTGTATGTATAAGGTCCACAGAAAGGCACACACCTGTATATATAAGGTCCCACAGAAAGGCACACACCTGTATATATAAGGTCCACAGAAAGGCACACACCTGTATATATAAGGTCCCACAGAAAGGCACACACCTGTATATATAAGGTCCCACAGAAAGGCACACACCTGTATATATAAGGTCCCACAGAAAGGCACACACCTGTATATATAAGGTCCCACAGAAAGGAACACACCTGTATATATAAGGTCCCACAGAAAGGCACACACCTGTATATATAAGGTCCCACAGAAAGGCACACACCTGTATATATAAGGTCCCACAGAAAGGCACACACCTGTATATATAAGGTCCCACAGAAAGGCACACACCTGTATGTATAAGGTCCACAGAAAGGCACACACCTGTATATATAAGGTCCCACAGAAAGGCACACACCTGTATGTATAAGGTCCACAGAAAGGCACACACCTGTATATATAAGGTCCCACAGAAAGGCACACACCTGTATATATAAGGTCCACAGAAAGGCACACACCTGTATATATAAGGTCCCACAGAAAGGCACACACCTGTATATATAAGGTCCCACAGAAAGGCACACACCTGTATATATAAGGTCCCACAGAAAGGCACACACCTGTATATATAAGGTCCCACAGAAAGGAACACACCTGTATATATAAGGTCCCACAGAAAGGCACACACCTGTATAAGGTCCCACAGAAAGGCACACACCTGTATATATAAGGTCCCACAGAAAGGCACACACCTGTATAAGGTCCCACAGAAAGGCACACACCTGTATAAAGTCCCACAGAAAGGAACACACCTGTATATATAAGGTCCCACAGAAAGGCACACACCTGTATATATAAGGTCCCACAGAAAGGCACACACCTGTATATATAAGGTCCCACAGAAAGGCACACACCTGTATATATAAGGTCCCACAGAAAGGCACACACCTGTATGTATAAGGTCCACAGAAAGGCACACACCTGTATATATAAGGTCCCACAGAAAGGCACACACCTGTATGTATAAGGTCCACAGAAAGGCACACACCTGTATATATAAGGTCCCACAGAAAGGCACACACCTGTATATATAAGGTCCACAGAAAGGCACACACCTGTATATATAAGGTCCCACAGAAAGGCACACACCTGTATATATAAGGTCCCACAGAAAGGCACACACCTGTATATATAAGGTCCCACAGAAAGGCACACACCTGTATATATAAGGTCCCACAGAAAGGAACACACCTGTATATATAAGGTCCCACAGAAAGGCACACACCTGTATAAGGTCCCACAGAAAGGCACACACCTGTATATATAAGGTCCCACAGAAAGGCACACACCTGTATAAGGTCCCACAGAAAGGCACACACCTGTATAAAGTCCCACAGAAAGGCACACACCTGTATATATAAGGTCCCAAAGAAAGGCACACACCTGTATATATAAGGTCCAACAGAAAGGCACACACCTGTATATACTGTATAAGGTCCCACAGCACACACCTGTATATATAAGGTCCCACAGCACACACCTGTGTATATATAAGGTCCCACAGAAAGGCACACACCTGTGTATATATAAGGTCCCACAGAAAGGCACACACCTGTGTATATATAAGGTCCCACAGAAAGGCACACACCTGTATATATAAGGTCCCACAGAAAGGAACACACCTGTATATATAAGGTCCCACAGAAAGGCACACACCTGTATATATAAGGTCCCACAGAAAGGCACACACCTGTATATATAAGGTCCCACAGAAAGGCACACACCTGTATATATAAGGTCCCACAGAAAGGCACACACCTGTATATATAAGGTCCCACAGAAAGGCACCTATATATATAAGGTCCCACAGAAAGGCACACACCTGTATATATAAGGTCCCACAGAAAGGCACACACCTGTATATATAAGGTCCCACAGAAAGGCACACACCTGTATATATAAGGTCCCACAGAAAGGCACACACCTGTATATATAAGGTCCCACAGAAAGGCACACACCTGTATGTATAAGGTCCACAGAAAGGCACACACCTGTATATATAAGGTCCCACAGAAAGGCACACACCTGTATGTATAAGGTCCACAGAAAGGCACACACCTGTATATATAAGGTCCCACAGAAAGGCACACACCTGTATATATAAGGTCCACAGAAAGGCACACACCTGTATATATAAGGTCCCACAGAAAGGCACACACCTGTATATATAAGGTCCCACAGAAAGGCACACACCTGTATATATAAGGTCCCACAGAAAGGCACACACCTGTATATATAAGGTCCCACAGAAAGGAACACACCTGTATATATAAGGTCCCACAGAAAGGCACACACCTGTATAAGGTCCCACAGAAAGGCACACACCTGTATATATAAGGTCCCACAGAAAGGCACACACCTGTATAAGGTCCCACAGAAAGGCACACACCTGTATAAAGTCCCACAGAAAGGCACACACCTGTATATATAAGGTCCCAAAGAAAGGCACACACCTGTATATATAAGGTCCAACAGAAAGGCACACACCTGTATATACTGTATAAGGTCCCACAGCACACACCTGTATATATAAGGTCCCACAGCACACACCTGTGTATATATAAGGTCCCACAGAAAGGCACACACCTGTGTATATATAAGGTCCCACAGAAAGGCACACACCTGTGTATATATAAGGTCCCACAGAAAGGCACACACCTGTGTATATATAAGGTCCCACAGAAAGGCACACACCTGTATATATAAGGTCCCACAGAAAGGAACACACCTGTATATATAAGGTCCCACAGAAAGGCACACACCTGTATATATAAGGTCCCACAGAAAGGCACACACCTGTATATACTGTATAAGGTCCCACAGCACACACCTGTGTATATATAAGGTCCCACAGAAAGGCACACACCTGTATATACTGTATAAGGTCCCACAGCACACACCTGTGTATATATAAGGTCCCACAGAAAGGCACACACCTGTGTATATATAAGGTCCCAATGAGCACAGTGGCCTCCATCATCAGTAAATGTAAGACGTTTGGAACCACCGGGACTCTTCCTAGAGCTGGCCGGCCAGTAAAAACATTCTCTGGTCTGATGAGATAAAGATTGAAGTCTTTGGTGTGAATGCCAGGCATCATGTTTGGAGGAAACCAGGCATTGCTCATCACCGAGCCAATACCATCCCTACAGTGAAGCATGGGGGTGGTAGCATCATGCTGTGGGGATGTTTTTCAGCGGCAGGAACTGGGAGACAAGTCAAGATAGAGGGAAAGATGAATGCAGCAATGTACAGAGACATCCTGGATGAAAAGCTGCTCCAGAGCGCTCTTGACCTCAGACTGGGGCGACGGTTCATCTTTCAGCAGGACAACGACCCTAAGAAGTGGCTTCAGGAAAACTCTGTGAATGTCCTTGAGTGGCCCAGAGCCCAGACTTGAATCCAACTGAACATCTCTGGAGAGATCTGAAAATGGCTGTGCACCGACACTCCCCATCCAACTGGATGGAGCTTGAGAGGTGCTGCAAAGAGGAATGGGCCAAAACTGCCCAAAGACAGGTGTGCCAAGCTTGTGGCATCATATTCAAAAAGACTTGAGGATGTAATTGCTCCAAAGGTGCATCAACAAAGTATTAAGCAAAGGCTGTGAATACTTATGTACATGGGCTTTCTTAGTTTTTGTATTTTAAATACATTTGCAAGAATCTCAACCTTTTTTCATGTTGTCATTATGGGGTGTTGTGTGTAGAATTGTGAGGAAAAAAATTCATTGAATCAATTTTGGAATAAAGTTGTAACATAACAAAATGTGGAAAAGGTGAAGCAATGTGAATACTTTCCGGATGCACTGTAGCTCTCTGCTGCCACCTACTGACTACGTGGTTACTCCACATGCAGTTCAAAACAAGTCAGCACCTGCCAATGGTCGATGCATTTATTCTTCTGCGGCACAGTGGTTGAAAAACACTGATCCAGTGGAAGCATTTTACTGGAGGAAATCCCAATGTTAATGTATCAACAATAGTTGTTTTATGGTAATATTATTACACAAAATGTAATCTGAGGATTTGTCATACAAGTGTGAGAAAGAAAGAGTGGGGTGATGTATTTGAGAGCTTCATGTTTATTTTTGACAAGGAGAAATGTTATTATCTAATATCCCTAAAAAGGGTCCTTTAATAAAACATCTTAAGCTAAAAAGAGAATGTGCCATCGGTTCGGGGCGAGAGGCGTCACTTGGCGTAGTCGCCCCAAACACCCACAGTCTTGGCATTCCAGCGGGTTGTAGACAAGCACTGGACAAAGAAATGTCCAAGGTCGTGTTTGGAGATGGCTCGTCCACGCAGCATGTTTTCTGTGGCCTGGTACGTGGCAGTCAGCGGAAGGTCATCTGCAAGCACACACAGAACAAACCGTCACTGCGCTGAGGTCATGGTCACTGCACTGAGGTCATGGTCACTGCACTGAGGTTATGGTCACTGCACTAAGGTCATGGTCACTGCACTGAGGTCATGGTCACTGCGCTGAGGTCATGGTCACTGTGCTGAGGTTATGGTCACTGCACTGAGGTCATGGTCACTGCACTGAGGTCATGGTCACTGTGCTGAGGTTATGGTCACTGCACTGAGGTCATGGTCACTGCACTGAGGTCATGGTCACTGCACTGAGGTCATGGTCACTGCACTGAGGTTATGGTCACTGCACTAAGGTCATGGTCACTGCACTGAGGTCATGGTCACTGTGCTGAGGTCATGGTCACTGTACTGAGGTCATGGTCACTGTACTGAGGTCATGGTCACTGTGCTGAGGTCATGGTCACTGTACTGAGGTCATGGTCACTGTACTGAGGTCATGGTCACTGTACTGAGGTCATGGTCACTGTGCTGAGGTCATGGTCACTGCGCTGAGGTCATGGTCACTGCACTGAGGTCATGGTCACTGCACTGAGGTCATGGTCACTGTACTGAGGTCATGGTCACTGTGCTGAGGTCATGGTCACTGCACTGAGGTCATGGTCACTGTACTGAGGTCATGGTCACTGCACTGAGGTCATGGTCACTGTGCTGAGGTCATGGTCACTGTACTGAGGTCATGGTCACTGCACTGAGGTCATGGTCACTGTACTGAGGTCATGGTCACTGTACTGAGGTCATGGTCACTGTGCTGAGGTCATGGTCACTGCGCTGAGGTCATGGTCACTGCACTGAGGTCATGGTCACTGCACTGAGGTCATGGTCACTGTACTGAGGTCATGGTCACTGTGCTGAGGTCATGGTCACTGCACTGAGGTCATGGTCACTGTACTGAGGTCATGGTCACTGCACTGAGGTCATGGTCACTGTGCTGAGGTCATGGTCACTGTACTGAGGTCATGGTCACTGCACTGAGGTCATGGTCACTGTACTGAGGTCATGGTCACTGCACTGAGGTCATGGTCACTGTACTGAGGTCATGGTCACTGTACTGAGGTCATGGTCACTGTGCTGAGGTCATGGTCACTGTACTGAGGTCATGGTCACTGTGCTGAGGTCATGGTCACTGTACTGAGGTCATGGTCACTGTACTGAGGTCATGGTCACTGTACTGAGGTCATGGTCACTGTGCTGAGGTCATGGTCACTGCGCTGAGGTCATGGTCACTGCACTGAGGTCATGGTCACTGCACTGAGGTCATGGTCACTGTACTGAGGTCATGGTCACTGTGCTGAGGTCATGGTCACTGTACTGAGGTCATGGTCACTGTACTGAGGTCATGGTCACTGTACTGAGGTCATGGTCACTGTGCTGAGGTCATGGTCACTGCGCTGAGGTCATGGTCACTGCACTGAGGTCATGGTCACTGCACTGAGGTCATGGTCACTGTACTGAGGTCATGGTCACTGTGCTGAGGTCATGGTCACTGCACTGAGGTCATGGTCACTGTACTGAGGTCATGGTCACTGCACTGAGGTCATGGTCACTGTGCTGAGGTCATGGTCACTGTACTGAGGTCATGGTCACTGCACTGAGGTCATGGTCACTGTACTGAGGTCATGGTCACTGCACTGAGGTCATGGTCACTGTACTGAGGTCATGGTCACTGTACTGAGGTCATGGTCACTGCACTGAGGTCATGGTCACTGTGCTGAGGTCATGGTCACTGTACTGAGGTCATGGTCACTGCACTGAGGTCATGGTCACTGCACTGAGGTCATGGTCACTGTACTGAGGTCATGGTCACTGCACTAAGGTCATGGTCACTGTACTGAGGTCATGGTCACTGCACTGAGGTCATGGTCACTGCACTGAGGTCATGGTCACTGCACTGAGGTTCTACATGGAAACATAGCTGAAGAAGGACATTCCGGACTTTGCTGTAAACATGTACGGATTTCATACATTTCGGGCTGGCCGGACAGCCGAGAGTGAGGAGAGGCAGGGGTCTGGCTGTGTTTGTGGATATGGACTACTGAAGCCCATACTATCTGCCAAGGGAGTAGACCCCTGTCTGTATTTCTCCTTCTGCCAAAGCTGACAGTGCAGGTGACACCCTATTTTCCACTGTAAACGGTCTCCAAATACAGCACTCCCGGGCCCTTTTCATTATCACAAGGGACTTTAAATATGTGTCCCGAGCAGCTGCTCTCCCATCCGTCACACAGTAAATCACCTATCCCACAAGAGGCAATAAAACACTGACAACACTGATATAAAAGATAAGTTATAATAAAATTAGAAAACAGAAGTAACAGAATTAGAAAAATGTTTGTAAATTAGCTTGGAAGTTCCCATAACTTATCTATTTATGGGAATTCTATTTCATTAATTAGTCAGAAACCGTCGTTTAGTGTGACAAGTTTGAGGACAGAGCTAAAACAACTGCAGCTTTGTTTTATTAAGAACAATCTTGTATCAAAAGCACCAGAGCAATCACCTCCGATGTGGGGGGGCATGATGGCCACATAGTCCAGGCCTGAGCTCTGCAGCAGAGAGTACATGCGCTCGTGGTCCTCAGTCAGCGGGACAAGGCGGGGCGGCACTTTGGAACGCTCCCACAGCAGGAAGGCTGCAACACAGCACCCATGTTTGAAGTTTTTATAGAGGATTTAGGCCAAGCTGCCAGCAGGGTTTTACAGTGGTCACATGACATATTTCATTCACCCCACACACCAAACACAACAAATGTTCTTTCTTACCCTTTAACACATAATTCAGTCCAAATCTGTTATGTTATATCCGTAAAGTCCTTTTACTTGCCCTGCGATTGAAAAAATTAGGCTTCATATCAATTTGTCCTTAAGTCAAACTTGTTTTTCTTCTGATACGAAGATTTGGATGCCCAGGTCAGAAGAAATAGTGTCAGGCTAAAGCGCACGTTCTGTTATAAATGCCATTGTGGTGGCCATTAGAAGTATGTAAAGAAGCACAGCTGGTCTACTGTCCATCAGTCTTGCAGATTCACCTGACATGCAGGCCACCACCTTGCGGATGCCTCGCTCCTTCATCACCTCCAGGATTGTGCGGGTGCCTTCTGACATCATGGTGGTGGGACCTGCAGCAGAGCAGTGTAGCAAATATACAAATGTCATATATTGTGTGAGCAGCAGGGGGAGCCACTCACTTTTGTATACTGTCACAATCTACTAATAAAGCTGAGATACCTAACTTTTTTCATTAATAAACACATGGATTGTTTCAACAGAAGGAGTCTTAATTCAATTTCAGACCACATTATGTTGTCCTCATCTTATTCGGCGCCGCAGGGCTGTGTGAACACAACAACAACATGACAGCCACATTTCAGCAGTAAACGGCTGATGCTGTAGTCTGCTGCGGGACGAGTGTGTTGAGCGACCTACTTCACAACGTTTAAAGGTGCCATATAACGCCTTTTGACTTTTCTATGCTTTCATTGCAGTGCTATTGGGTCTTGCCCACATGCCCAGAGTCATCTTTTCATTGATTTGCTAAAGCTTCAGTTAGACTGGGATCTTTCGCTTTAGTTCTCAAGAGGCAGCAAAACGCCTCGGTTCAATTTGTGACGTGACACCAAATCGTCACCAGGAGGTGATTGACATGGGGAGAAACAGAAACAGCGAATCAGTGCATACAGCCTCTCTCCAAGTGCAGAGTACTGTTCATAGACTGTAAATATTAGTATGGTCCCGCATCTACCACCCATAGACTGTGCAGTTTTTTGATGAACAAAAAACTGCACCATATATATATAAAAAATAGTCTATGATCAGAATAATGTATATTTCTGCAGAAATTGATTCAACTTTATGTATCAGCATGCTTATAAGAAAAAACTGATAACTGGATGCATGAAATGGAAAACAAACATTTTTGAGACTGTATTGTTAGATCAGAGTGCAGCGTTTGATTTGCTTGATCATGATTTACTACTGGATAAATATCTTGAAAATTCTGCAAGTGGGACAAAAGTTATTTAACTAACAGAGTTTACTGTATAAATTAATGGCAGTTATTCTGGAAGAAAAAAAAGACATAAAAAGAGTTGTGGAGTGCCTCAAAGAAGCTGTCTTGGGGCGCTTTTATAGTCAATCTTTGCAGTGTATATTGAAACGTGCCACTATTGCTCTTTATGCAGACGATTCAACCATTTATCTGTCTGACACTAACCTTGCTAATCTAAATGAAAACATAAAAGAAGATTTGAAATCCATTGAGGATTGGATGCATTAAAATAAATTGGTTATTAATCCCAAAGAGACCAAATACATGGTGTTAGAATCAAACCCCTGTTTTAAATGTGACCATAGAAGGTAAATCTATAGAACCAGTCACTGAGACCAAGCTGCTGGTGTCACAGTTGATCATATGTTGACCTGGAACAGTCATATGAAGCAAATATCAAACAAAATGGGAAAAATGAGTCTGGCTGCAGTGAAGCAGAGCAGAAACTGTGAACCAAACCAAATATGTAAACTATTAGTTGACTCAATTGTTTGTCACTAGATCTGTTCAATAATTTGGTCAAACACAACAGAGGCAAATTTAAACAAACTTAAAATGGCACATAATAAAGCGGCTCGGCTCGTCCTGTGTGTTAGAGGGAGGATTTAATATTAGCTCATTAATATAATCAGAAAGATGATAACAAAAACACCAGAGATACTCTTTACTATCTGACCTCCTTCAGTGATGTGCAGCAGTATTCCACTCGACAGGGACAGGCGTGTCCTCTCACCTGCACGATGGAGGCATGGGACACACTACCCCAGTTTCTTGTACATGGGATGAATGCACTTGACTTTCAAAAAAGATTGACAGTTTTTCTTTTCACAGAAGAATGGAATGTATTTGTTTGTATTTTGGAGTTGTATTGACATTACTTGGATAATTGAATGTTTAGAATGTATTATAGACATTTTTTTAAATTTAGATTATTTTTGCGCTGCTATTACTGTTGCCGTGTGTGCGTTTGTATGTATATGGTTACTGTGTATTTCTGTATACTATATATACGTAGTACATTGTTGAGTACATAGACCCCAGGAAGAATAGCTACTGTATTTTTCAGTAGCTAATGGGGATCTGAATAAAAACAAAGACAAAGAATGGGGCGAATGTGGCTGGACTTTTTCACACAAGGATCTGCCTCGGAAATCTGCATTATATCTGTAGAAAGTTCCAGAACTATGGTTACCATGAAACTGGACTTACTCAAAAGCTGATCTTGAAACTTGTTTTATTCCCAAAATAAAAGACACAAACGAGGAGCCTAAATTTGTAAGTACAATGCAACAAACTTGCCGTATGCCACTGAATAATTAGGGTCAGATTCTGGATTGAAGATAGAGGGCTCTAAGTGACGGATCGCCATTGTTGGAAAAAGTTTATTCTCAGGTCTGACCATAAATCCAACCGTTTCAATTGAGGTGACACTGGGCCTCATGTATGAAAGTTGCGTAGAAAAAGGTGTATATTTTGGGTGTATATTCCATTTACGCAAGATCTGACGTGGCATTTATGAACGTGTGAGGCACAGATCTGAGCGTACGCACCTGCGGCTGTTGATAAATGCAGCGCTCAAAACCAGCGTATTTATGAAAGTCACGCCTAGAAATATTTAGAAACTGCCTGTTCCACGCCCTGTTTTTGTGACAGGTCAGCAGGAAGTCGGCTAAGAAGACTGTTTGGAAGCCTCAAAAAACACACACTTCTGAGATTATTCACGTTTAAAAAATATACATGTAGGCTTGTTCACACTAAAGGGCACAAAAGTGTGACAAAAGGCCAAAAATTAAATTTTAATAATCAGAAGATATTTTATGTTTTTCATGTTTCCAAGCACCTCCTCTGTTCATTAGAAGTTGCTAGAACATAACTGTTTTATACATTAGACAAGTTTCCTATAGCGCCCTGTTTATTTTATGTAACGGTGATGATTTGACGGAATGAGCTTTGCGGGAGTTTGATAGGTATTTTCAGATGTTCACAATTGATTCAGAGATTCTATTTTTTTACACAGAGTAGAAACAAAGTGATACTTTCATTTAGTCAACCAATTAAATGTGAAACCAGACAAGATTTTTTTCTTTCTCAAGTTAAAATTTTAGAGAAAAGAGGACGGAAACCATCACGTCCGTTATGCATTTTTCAAGGGTCATTTAATTAATTAATTATTTTTTATTTTTTAACGATTCCTTTTCATATCAAGTGATTTCCTAATGTTGTGTTAACCATGTAAATATTGTGGGATTTCATCTGCCGCTTTTTCAGACTGAGGACGTTTTATTTTCTATGTAACTGGCGTCACAGTAGAATGGTCAAAAAAGAGGCTGATTTTGTCGTTTAAAATGTCACTAAAAATATATTTGACAATCTTTCCTTTTGATTTTATCCACACTATCTCTTTGATGTGTCTGTGTTTGAAATCTTTTTTCCAATCTATGATAGTAATTTTAGTTTTTAAGTTATAACCTTTTAAAGTCGAGATACTTCAATTGACACTTAACTGTGAACACACTATATACGCTCTATTAGATATACACTTTTTCCCCTAGTGTCTAGACCCACTGCAGCACTCATCTCTCCTGAAATGTAGAAGTAAATAAATAAATAAATAATGAATGAATGAATGAACCAGTTCCCACATGAGCGTTGTAGCCTCTCTCTGCTGCGGAGTAAAGGGCAGTGCCTGAGACAGTTTTGAGCAAGATCAGGTGCATTATGGGGCTTTATGCACAAAACTAAGGAAAACCCACATTGCTTTGCCAGAGGTGAATGAGGCCAAACATATGCGTGATTACGTGTACTGCGCAGGGTCTGGTTAGTGAGTAAACGGCTAAGGAAAAATAACTTCTTGGAGCAGGAGATTGAGACCATTATGAACGAAGTGGGAAAATGAAAAAAGTCTTACTATTTGGAATTCTCAAAAGTGGCATCAAGGGGCTCAAAAAAGAAAATATGGAAAGAGATGACAGCATCTGTAAACAGCGTGGGGGCGGTAACACGCTCTCCTGAAGAGGTGAGTTTATTCATGTTTGAAGAAAAATACACTAAATTATGTCAAACAGTTGATATATTGGCCAATAGTAAGAATGTATTAATTTATGCTACAAGTGAAAAAAAAGGGAGCAACCTTAAAATGGTAACAAAAAGGCGTTTAGCGCAGCCCATAGAAGAAGTGCTCAGCAGCGAAGGGGGAGGACCGCCAGATCAAAGCATCCAAAAGAAAATATTAAGAAATTATCTTCAAATTACGTGATTATTATTTTAAAATGGTTGAATGAAGCCTGTCTGAGCTGTACAGGCCGAAGGCGGTGCTGGCCATGGTCTCTCATCTGCTGCTCCACCAGTGGCACACTGTGGTCCTGTGCCTGTTGTGGAGAACCGAGCCAGGACCATGTGGCACACTTGTACCAGGAGGTACCAGAGCGTACCCCCTACATGTCCCAGAGCCTGATCAGACCCGCGCAGCGCTCCACGGTGGCGTCTTTGCTTGGACCCGCTTGGACCAAAGCCATTACGCACTGATTGTAGGTGATATAACAATCCACACATTTGTGGGAGACTAAGTTTGACATCTTGTTATTTAATAACACAAACTAGCCCTAACATAACACCGTAAAATTGCATATTTGTAATGTGAGAGGTGTACCTATAATCCTGTCAGAGTCTGAATATGTTTATTTTTGTCCAAATCTTGAATTTCATGCGTGTTTTGGCGTGTTGTGATGAAGGTTGAAATCAGCGTACACATTTACTCCACCTCCAGACCTGGTGTATGTTTTTTGCGTATCGTACGCTGACGTCCAGATAAATGCGGAAAAGTGTAAATTATTTTGCGTACGCATCATTTACACCCTGATTTGGCCGTACGCATGTTTCATACATGAGGCCCAGTAGCTCTAAGCAAGAAATGCCTAAAAATTACAAATTTTGAGAGTTGTATGGTGTCTCAGCCAAATTATTATCACACGTGCTTAGGATGGACCGTGATAAATGCGGCATGAAATATGGGACCTTTAATAAAGTAGCCACATCTGGAGGAGCAGACACAAAGGAAAGGAAGACCAGGTTAGATTAGTGCAGCTGTGCAGCAACAAAAGCTCTGAAAGTGGTCCAGTGTGTTTGTGCCAGTTATTCCTGTCACCCCCCAGTACATGTGCGGGTGAAAATATCCACCATTTTGTGTGTGAACACAAAATTACACTAAATAACAAATGTGTGCGTATGAGTGTTCAGCTGTAAGCAGATCTCTTCTCATGTGGGTTATAGTTAGCCTGACTCTTGCCAGACTCTTGTAGATCGCTGCGCTTCTCACATGGGTCTGGGTCTATTATTCCATAGTGGATCAAATCCTAGTATGTGATTGGATAAACCACTTAGCTATCATCTTGAATGACGTGTTCTTTTAACCACTCACATCGAAGCACACAATTCAGCACACTACTCCCATGGGTTGCCGAATGTCGGCAAGATTTTCCAACCCAAAACCCAAAAATGCTCCAAAAAAAACTCCAAAAAACTCCAAAAAAAAAAAAAAAAAACACCCAGAATGATTTTTTGGGTAAAAACTTAATGTATTAAACTTGGGCTATCATGATTCTCTTTATTATCTTTCTGTTTATTTATTACCTACAAGTCTCTTGGAAAAAAAAGTATGTGGGAAACCACCCAACCTGGCAACCCTGCTGCATAGTGTTGTAAACAGGATCAACCAGTGCTTACACACATACAACAACATAGAACCATCAACATCTCGCCTCATATTGCATTAAAGTGACATCCGTGTCTTAATCCGTTCGTAAACCTGAACGTGTCATGTATGTGTCATGTGTGTATGTATGTGTGTGTATGTATGTGTGGTCATGTGTGTATGTATGTGTGTGTGTATGTATGTGTGGTCATGTGTGTATGTATGTGTGTGTGTATGTATGTGTGGTCATGTGTGTATGTATGTGTGTGTGTATGTATGTGTGGTCATGTGTGTATGTATGTGTGTGTGTATCTATGTATGTGTCATGTGTGTATGTATGTGTGTGTATGTATGTGTGGTCATGTGTGTATGTATGTGTGTGTGTATGTATGTGTGGTCATGTGTGTATGTATGTGTGTGTATGTATGTGTGGTCATGTGTGTATGTATGTGTGTGTATGTATGTGTGGTCATGTGTGTATGTATGTGTGGTCATGTGTGTATGTATGTGTGGTCATGTGTGTATGTATGTGTGTGTATGTATGTGTGGTCATGTGTGTATGTATGTGTGGTCATGTGTGTATGTATGTGTGTGTGTATGTATGTGTGGTCATGTGTGTATGTATGTGTGTGTATGTATGTTTGGACATGTGTGTATGTATGTGTGGTCATGTGTGTATGTATGTGTGTGTATGTATGTGTGGTCATGTGTGTATGTATGTGTGTGTGTATGTATGTGTGGTCATGTGTGTATGTATGTGTGTGTGTATGTATGTGTGGTCATGTGTGTATGTATGTGTGTGTGTATGTATGTGTGGTCATGTGTGTATGTATGTGTGTGTATGTATGTGTGGTCATGTGTGTATGTATGTGTGGTCATGTGTGTATGTATGTGTGGTCATGTGTGTATGTATGTGTGTGTATGTATGTGTGGTCATGTGTGTATGTATGTGTGTGTGTATGTATGTGTGGTCATGTGTGTATGTATGTGTGTGTATGTATGTGTGGTCATGTGTGTATGTATGTGTGTGTGTGTATGTATGTATGTGTCATGTGTGTATGTGTGTGTGGTCATGTGTGTATGTATGTGTGTGTGTATGTATGTGTGTGTGTATGTATGTATGTGCCATGTGTGTATGTATGTGTGGTCATGTGTGTATGTATGTGTGTGTGTATGTATGTGTGGTCATGTGTGTATGTATGTGTGTGTGTATGTATGTGTGGTCATGTGTGTATGTATGTGTGTGTGTATGTATGTATGTGTCATGTGTGTATGTATGTGTGGTCGTGTGTTTATGTGTGTGTGTATCTATGTATGTGTCATGTGTGTATGTATGTGTGTGTATGTATGTGTGGTCATGTGTGTATGTATGTGTGTGTATGTATGTGTGGTCATGTGTGTATGTATGTGTGTGTGTATGTATGTGTGGTCATGTGTGTATGTATGTGTGTGTGTATGTATGTGTGGTCATGTGTGTATGTATGTGTGTGTGTATGTATGTGTGGTCATGTGTGTATGTATGTGTGGTCATGTGTGTATGTATGTGTGTGTATGTATGTGTGGTCATGTGTGTATGTTTGTGTGTGTGTATGTATGTGTGGTCATGTGTGTGTGTATGTGTGTGTATGTATGTGTGGTCATGTGTGTATGTATGTGTGTGTGTTTGTATGTATGTGTCATGTGTGTATGTATGTGTGGTCATGTGTGTATGTATGTGTGTGTGTATGTATGTGTGGTCATGTGTGTATGTATGTGTGTGTGTATGTATGTGTGGTCATGTGTGTATGTATGTGTGTGTGTATGTATGTATGTGTCATGTGTGTATGTATGTGTGGTCGTGTGTTTAGGTGTGTGTGTATGTATGTATGTGTGGTCATGTGTGTATGTATGTATGTGTGTATGTATGTATGTGTCATGTGTGTATGTATGTGTGGTCGTGTGTTTATTTGTGTGTGTATCTATGTATGTGTCATGTGTGTATGTATGTGTGGTCGTGTGTTTATGTGTGTGTGTATGTATGTATGTGTCATGTGTGTATGTATGTGTGGTCATGTGTGTATGTATGTATGTGTGTATGTATGTATGTGTCATGTGTGTATGTATGTGTGGTCGTGTGTTTATGTGTGTGTGTATCTATGTATGTGTCATGTGTGTATGTATGTGTGGTCATGTGTGTATGTATGTGTGGTCGTGTGTTTATGTATGTGTGTGTGTGTGAGATAAGCTAAAGCATGTGCGTGCTTATGTGTGTGTATTCCTCACTCAGGTCGCTCCTGGTCCCTAAGATGATGATGACGGCGTCCTGTCCCTCTAGTGTCTTCCTCACATCCTCTCTGTTCAGCACATCCCCCACCACCACTCGGGACGCCCCGTGGTCCGAGGGCAGACGGGAGGGGTCCCGCACTAGTACTGTGGCGTTGTACCCTGCATCACAATCAGCATGAGCATGGGGAACTTACACATGTCAGATGAAGGGCTGAAACAAGCTGTCTCCTCAAAGTAATCATATTATTTATTTTCAGTCATCTTTGTTATGTGTGACTTTCCACGACAGCATGAATCAGACAATATAGAATTTGGAAATGAGACGAGGTTGTTATCTGCCACTGTTAGTGGCAGATTAAAGTGTGTCCCACCCATGGTGTGTGCTGCAGATAACAATAGTCCATAAGAGGGGGCTGAGGGGCCAAGACACAGAAGACAAGGAGAATAAGGGCCAAGAGGAGATTGTTAGCTAAAAGGGGCGAGCCAACTTGTCACAAAAAAGCAAAATATGTAGAAAATGATAACAGAACAAGTTAAAAACACAGAGACCTAATGCAAGAGGAATTGATCCCTGTGTTGTTGTTTTTAGTACAAGTTAGGTTGGACACTCAAAGACACTTCATGTCACAGTATTCATTCACCCCTTAGACTGTGATACTGCTGTTGTCATAGCTGCCCTGAGGCAGGCAGACTGACAGGGGCTACTAATTACTCAATTGGCCGCTCCACTCTGACCACCACCATGCACATGGGCAGTGTGGGTCAAGTGTCTTGCCTAAGGACACAACGAAAGTGTTTCCATTCACAGCCGTACTGCTGCGGTCTCCCATTGATTAAAAATGCCTATATTGTGATTCATATGAACTTCACAAACTAAAATATGTGTAGTGTGCAGAATACAATAATTAGGACTTGATTTTACCCAATGCTGCATGTAAGAAACATGGGCCTATTTGCCTCTCTATCCATGACTCAGCAAAAAAACCCAACATGAACTCAGCATTTTTATCGTCTGCTAGTGACACATCACATGACCAGTTTTGTAGCCTAACCCTAACCGCCAATTAAAATAGTGTCATAACCACATGTATACTCTATAATACTGTCATAACCACATGTATACTCTATAATACTGTCATAACCACATGTATACTCTATAATATCTGTCATAACCACATGTATACTCTATAATACTGTCATAACCACATGTATACTCTATAATACTGTCATAACCACATGTATACTCTATAATACTGTCATAACCACATGTATACTCTATAATACTGTCATAACCACATGTATACTCTATAATACTGTCATAACCACATGTATACTCTATAATACTGTCATAACCACATGTATACTCTATAATACTGTCATAACCACATGTATACTCTATAATACTGTTCATAACCACATGTATACTCTATAATACTGTCATAACCACATGTATACTCTATAATACTGTCATAATCACATGTTTACATTATAATACTGTCAAACCACATGTATACTGCATGTGTATTATGCAGTTATAATCACATATATTGCTCATCCTACAGGCTGTAGTGGGTTCACCTGCAGCGGTCACCTGGGGCAGCGTGGCCAGCCCCGTCATTCCGGTGGCTCCAAACACCGCCACGTTCTGCACTCTGTCCGTCAGCGACATGCTTCCTCGGCCAGAGCTTCCCCTGTGTTGGACAGCACCTAGACTGTTGTCTTGTGCAGGGTGGAAGTGGACGAGCACCCAGGGGCCCTCCCCCTCTCGACTTAAAGGACCAGACCAACATTATCTACAGTGCTTTTAAACCAGTGTGCCATGGTCCGTGTGTGCCTGAGAGCATGTATGTGTACCTTTGGAAATGATTCTTAGGAACGTTAGGAACGTCTTTTACTATTTTTTTCAGTTGCTTCCGGATTGTTCTTTTTTTTTACTTATTTTTTTTAATGGATTTATTTCTTCAAAAGTGCAGGTATACAACATGCATACAAATTGACAGATCAGATAGCCAGAGGGTTAAAGCGAAAAAATAAATACAAATAATCATGTACGGTCAAATACATTGTACGCAGTAACAATGCAAATGTCAATGGTCCTTACAGCTTTTTTGTTAGTTATGCCACTTATTAAGTTAATATACAACAAAAAAATCATTGTAGAAATGTCTAAAGGCAGGCTTCTGCTTGCTATATTTACATTTATGAATGAAATATTTGGCCTGTATAATCAATAGATTTATAATGAAAAAAACATCCTTTTTATGCCTTCATCACATTTTCCCATTTCAAAGAAAAGTCTTTATAGGCATTCCGGATTGTTCTTAAAGGACAACTCACCCTCAAATCCACTTTTTTTTGCTGATAAACGATTTAAATGAATGAAACTTTCTGCCTAAAACCGTCTGTGGGGCGCCATCTGCTGGCGACCTGTATTACTACATTTGAATTTTGAATCTGGCGCCAACACTGGCGCGGCAGCAAGACCTGACGTCTGAAGCAAGACCTGTGCAAGACATAAAGACTGTATTTGAACTTTTCATCCCAAACTCCATCCAAACAATCTTGATTGAGATGAAAAACCTGGAAGGAAGGAAAGTCTTCAGCCACAGCTGGGAGGACATCAACGGTTCCAAACTAGATGCCTACCTCAGTCTTCTGCTTCTTGCTGGCATGTACAGGTATGCATTCTGCATCAATGTTATTGTACAATGTATATTGTAAGATTAGCCCACCGGAAACCTAGCCCGTGTTTGTATAAAGCTACAACTCACGACTAAGTCTAACCCCTACATGAATTTACATAAGGAGCCAGGTCGTTTCTGTTCATAGCCTGGAATCGCAGCGCCTCCGTATAAACGGGGCTTGAGTAAGTATTCTTTTGTTTATACAGACACAGACCAGGGTCACAAAGTGCTTTAGTGTTGTTATGGGCATTTGTCCCTCACTCGCAGAGATGGGAGCAGGGCCTTTGTTTTGCTTCATTCTCCATGTAAATCATCTATAATATGTAATATGCATATATGCATTTCACCTTGGAGAGACCCATGAGGGAAAATGCAGTTAGAAGTTTAGGATTAGCATGTTTGGCGCCCTAGGCCCAGGAGAGATGCTGATGAGCACGGCGCTTGCTCGCGCGCATAATCCCCCCCGGGGCCTAGGCACTGGTGGCGGCAGAGGCAGTAGGCAAGCACGCTTCGATGAGAGAAGGAGGAGGTGGGGCGGCGGAGGCTTGCAGACTTCAGAAGGCCGGGAGGTGGGCATCTCCGGCTTTTAACTTGCTGTCCTGGTGGTTATTGGTTGATTAGATGTGGGCGTTGCTGGTATGATGAGTCGAGGATGAGCAGGCTTGTAGGTCTGGGCAAGCAGCAGCCGGGTCTACCACAGTGAACTTTCGCGAAAGCTCCATTATATTGTGAGATTTCATAACACTTTTAAGCAACTTTTGTTAAAGTTAAACTCATCAATCTATCAATGTGCAGAAGCCTGTACTTTTCCCTTGTTGTGTCTATCTGAAGGCCAAGCTACAAGCACACTGTGGCAGCTGCTGATTGGAGGTCTCCATGCCTCCGCTCTGTAAAATACACTTGCATTCTGTTGTATCTGTTGTTCGTGCTGTCTCTACCATCGACAATAAAACATGTCTTCTGTCTGAATGAAAGACGCGATCCCAGACTATGTCATCTTCTTCAGGTGGTGGAAGGATGCGGGCCTTGTCTGTAACATCTACAGAACAGAAGACTTTTTTTTTTTACACAAAAAGTGTTTTTTTTTTAAAGCCAAAACTGAGAAACCTCAAGAGAATGCATCTGGACCAGCACTTGGACAATCTGCACAGCCCCTGATTCCACTCAGGCTGTGACCTGCTGAGACATGGACAACACCATCGTCCTCTTTTGCATGGACATCATTTGGAACAATTGGATTTCTGAATTTGGACATAATTTGGACTGAATTGAATTGCTGAATCTGGACACTGAAGCTGAAACGTGTGATTGAAAGACACGTCACAGAAGAATTCATGGCTCGACACAAATGCAGCCTGAAGAAACCAACACGGAGAAGTGGGAGAGACTGTTTTCAAAGCAATATCTGAGAACCACCATCGACTGATGAAGTTTGGTATTTTACTGAAGATTGTTGACAAGTTTTATGAAAGATCTGAACATGTTTTATGAGTTTTTGAAGTATTCCGAGTTCTGAGTTTTTTGAAGTACCGAGTGAAGTACCAAGTTTATGAGTTTTTGAAGTATTGAGTTATGATGTTATGTTGCTGTTTATCGATCCTGATGGTCACACGTGAATGTATGACCAGAGGGGGGAATGTGAGATTTCATAACACTTTTAAGCAACTTTTGTTAAAGTTAAACTCATCAATCTATCAATGTGCAGAAGCCAGTACTTTTCCCTTGTTGTGTCTATCTGAAGGCCAAGCTACATGGCACTGTGGAAGCTGCTGATTGGAGGTCTCCATGCCTCCGCTCTGTATAATACACTTGCATTCTATTGTATCTGTGATCGTGTGCTTTGTTCGTGCGGTCTCTACCATCGACAATAAAACATGTCTTCTGTCTGAATGAAAGACGCGATCCCAGACTATGTCATCTTCTTCAATATTTATGGATAGAATGAATGATTATGGTGATGAAATGATTATAGATCATCATTATTTGTTTCTATCACCCTTGTTGATGTGCAAATAAGTTCTTCTTGTCTTGCCTTGACAGATCCAACAATGAAGCTCGAGCCTCTGGGATGCTGAGTCAGGCCGAAGTATTTTTTGCGCCACAATGTCCCTTCAGACCTTTCATGTCCTATCGAGAGTGATCAACTTTGATAACCTCAAGACCAGAGTTGCACACCGTCTGAGACAAGTGGGTGGAGCGTCTGCCGAGCATATATAATCCTGGGCCCGAGGTCACTGTGGACAAGCGCCTTGTCCCGTTCTGAAGCCGTTGTCTATTCAGGCAGTATATTCCAAACAAACCTGCAAAGTACGGAGTCAAGATCTGGGCAGCATGCGACGCCAAGAGCAGTTATGCCTGGAAAACGCAGGTCTACAAATCTGCAACTGGAGTGGCTGAAAGGAACCAGGGCACGCAGGTGGTGCTGGACCTGACCGAGGGTCTATGAGGGCACAACATCACCTGTGATAACTTTTAACTTTGTATCCACTCGGCCAAGAGCTGCTCAAGAGAAAACTGACCATGGTGGCAACAGTCAGAAAGAATAAACCCAAGCTCCCTCCTGTCTCCAATCAGTCCTTTCTCCTCAAAATTTGCATTCACCGAGACCACCACAATGGTGTTGGACTACATTCCGAAGATAAAGAATGTCACCCTGGTCTCAACCCTCCTCAAGGATGCTGCTGTGAGTAGTAGAGAGGACAAGAAGCCAGTAATAGTATTGGACTATAACTGTTCCAAAGGGGGAGTTGACAACCTTGATAAGGTCACTGTCACAAACACCTGTCAAAGAAAGACATTACAGTGGCCAATGGTGGTCTTTTTCAATATGCTGGATGTGTCAGTCTACAATGCGTTTGGTGTGGACAGAGATTACTGCTGGAAGTAACATTGGGAGGTTCAGCAGGAGGAGCTGGGCAGAGCTCTGGTGAATCCACACAGAGAGAGACGTCAGCGGGTTCCCCGAGCTCCTGGCAGTGCCAGGTGGGTGAGAGAGCTACAGGCTGCAGCCACAGCAGCGCCCCCTACAGAGCTCCAGCCGGTGGAGGCCAAAGGCAGCAACAGAAAGAGGTGCCAGTCCTGCTCTTCCAAAACAGACAGAAAAAAACCACAACCTGCCACAGATGTAAAAAACATACATCTGCAGGGAGCACATGCAAACACTTGCTTTCTGTGATTTGGGCAAGTGAACGCACACACACGCACACACAAACGCACACACACACACATACACATACACACACACACATACACACACACACACATACACACACACACACACAGAAACACACACATAGAAACGCACACACACACACAGAAACGCACACACACACACAAACGCACACACACAAACACACACACACTTTCAAGTTTGTGTCCATCATAATTAAGCTGAATATGATTTGAATCTAATAAAAATTATTTGTTTTTTCTTAATCAAACAAAGTTCATGTTTGAAAATAAATTATGTTTGTGTTTTATGTCATTCAAATCAAATGAGGTTGTGTTTTCTGAAAATAAAGTGGTTTTCTGAAGAAAAAAGGCAAATTTTTCTAATTAAAATGAACATAATTGTATATGTTGAACTTATTTCAGAAGTTATTTTCTAATATTGTTTTATTATAGTCAGAAAACATTATTATCAATGGATTTCACATTTAGTATATTATGATTGAAAAACCTAATTTTCCGTTTAAAAATAAGGGTTTGATCTGTCTTGGAGGCCTTAAATCAAATAACAATTGAATTATATAGTTTTGAATGCCTATAATGTTAGTTGAGCTGCTCTGGGAGATCTCGGTTCAGTGGAAGCAAAAAGTTTCCGTTCCCGGGACATAAGACTTGGGAGTGACCGTCTGCTGGTGTGCTATTGTGGAACAGAGACTGGAGCTAAATATAAACACGTGCTTCAGTTTGAGCATCTCTCGAGGCCACGGTTTCTTTCGGCTACTTCCTGAAACGCACTCAGCCGAAGGTTCCGCATTTT